GATGTTTAGCAAGTGAACACATTAGTTTTTAATTTAAGGGTAATGGAAACTTAAGTTGTCGACAGTTTCGTGGTGTACAATCCTAAGTGTTGTTGCACCCAGCATCCTGAAAGAATGATGCAAAAGGAAAAAGAACAGCAGATTTCTAGTTAGAATACGTCCAGAATTATTGTAAAAATATTTAGGTAACATTTGAATTACCTTCATCCATTTCGATTTACCTTATTAGAAATCCACTTTTCTGTCATTGTATAATTTTCAAGTTTTCTGTTTTTCAAAATCGATCACTTCTTATATAAGAATTGAACAGAATTGGCATAATTCTAATTCAATTCTGTATTTCAATACATGAAACTCTTTTGTTAAAAATTCATATATTTATCCATATATTAATTCATATATTATCCAGAATCCACTGTTCAAGAATCAAGAAAAGCAAATCCACGTCTGATATATAATATTGTTGTAAGTTGTAACATTTGAATTTTCATAGAAATCCATTACCTATATTATTAGGAACTGTTTGATTTACTTAATTAGAAATTCTCAGCATTAGAAACCCTTACCACTAGAATAAATAAATAATAGATCGTTGGAGAAATGGTTCCATTGGCCCAGTTTTCCTCTCCACTGTGCTATATCCATAACTACCCTTTGGAACTGAAAGTTCAATTTATCTTTCCTTTGAGGATAACATGTGCTAGACGTATCTAGATATCAAGAACGTAACCTACTTCGATTTATTAAAGAGCCATTTAACAGTATTTCTACCCTCGGAATCTTTTTAATCTACCGATAGTATGAAGTTTCATTTACGAACAGGAACCTTCTTGGTTGGCGATAACAAAATCTTTGTGAAAAATTCGTGCGATTTCTGTAACAGCGAGTGATTCGAGTTAGAACAATCGTTGAAATCTCGTATGAATTATCTTAAAGGGTACAAGACAAGGGATTCAACATACTTACGAGTAAAATTGCATTAGTGTTAATGTTATTCGTACGAAGCCGTGTGTACGAAAAGGAAGCTGGAGAAAGCGTGGAGTGCACTGCTTCCGGTATGTGCTAACTTTTAGAGCGAACAAGCCGTAATGTTGAGGACACGAGCCACTTGGATTTTAGCAAGAGGTTTCGCATTTCGTTCTCACTTACCAAGACTGCAACGAGATACTTCGACGATGTTTACGAACCTTTCTCACTGCACTCGCAATATGAGCAATTCTACTGTTTCGTAAGAGAAGAAAACATAGCGGTGATTGCCTTCAGTCGAGCAATAAATATTTGCTTTTGTTGTTATACTCCTTACTGGATTGCATTTTGACAGTGGGTGTACAATTATCTTCAGCCCTTTATAGATAGACATTTTTTCATACCCCTTTATCTCTCTAGATTTTCAAAATTTTTTAAAAATTTCATTTAATAAAAATAAAAATAGTTCCATTTGAAAAATTAAATTTAATTATTCTCAATACATTTGGTTGATTCTAAGTTAAAATAAATCATTAATCTCCACTTTAAAGGGTTGGATTGTCCATTAGCAGATATTCCATTTTCAATTAATTTTATCCCAAGATAATAATATTAAATCTATTTTGCCATTAAAAAACAATAGTTTTTTAAAGAAATTAATTGAATTTTGCTAATGGACAATATAAAATTGTAATCTGATTGGTCCATTATCTATTGAGAACAATTTCTGAAACGTTTGTATAGTTATTTTTATCAAACTTTAAAGTTTGAAATTAAAATGCCATAAATGGCATGCTGTATTATGTAAACGTAACAATTTAATGAAATACCAGTTATAACAGAAGCAAATCAATGATACAATTATGAAAGAAGGAAAATTGTGCATTGAAACAGAAAACGAATTGTTTTCTGTATTTTTAACAATATCATTAAGAAAACAATATAATTGCTCGAAGACAATTGTAACTGGATAAAAGAACGATGGGAACCGATGGCCCTTTTAACTTCAGACTTTTCTCATTAAACATTCCACAGATGTTAAAACATTTCTACTATAGGGATCGAGGTATAGAAGTGTTCCACGAATCTCTCGAATGGTGTTTTTCTTCGGAAACTATCCGTCGACGAGGAAACGGAAGTTGGGTGGTGGCAAAAGTTGGCAAAAAGTACCGGCGCGTTTCAACAAACGGCGTCTATCAACGAGTGGTCGGTTTCGTGCCGTTAACAAGCGCCCGAAGTTCTTTTTTTTTTTCCATCGAAGAATTCCAAAACTAAAGTTCAAGTGAAACGACCGGGGTTAACGATCTCGAAATTCAGAATCACCTCACCTCCGAGTAGTTCTAAGTTTTAAATACCCCTTCATCTTTGGTTCGAGTCGTACATTTGTAAAGGCGAGCTTGATGAACTTTCCACCAATTTTCGTTCAATTATTTATTTACCGAAGAGTTTCGGGTGAAACTTTAACACGTTCGCTGCACGAGGGAAATGAATAAAAATAATATAGAAAACGTGACGAATGCATTCTTGCAATTTGACAGTATTCTCAATAAAATTATAGCAAGGAATTGAAATGTACGTGCAATCGCAGAAATGATTAATCGGACGTGAGTGAAATATGAATCAATAATTAATCGCACGTACATCCGGTGTTGCGAGAGAATCGCGTGCCCGTTTAAGGGTCCTTTATAATGTCCACCTTTTTCACCTGTCACTCAGAAACTGTACGTTGTGTGCCGTTTTCGCTCGCCAGCTTTTTACAAAAGCGCTTCGTTACATAAAACGTTCCAGTCATATAAGACATTCTGTCACCAGTCGATCGATGGACTTGAGTGGGAAAAAAAACAAAAAAACAAGCATCACAATTGGTGGCGTGTTGTAATGGAACACGTGACATGGAAGAAATACTTCATTTTTTGATCAATACCTTCATCGAGTTTTCACACATGTTGCTTCTGGAGCGTGTCGAATGAACAATGCTCTCGATTCGAATCAATTCCATTATTATACGTGGTATTAGCAGGCTGAGTACTGCGGTAAAAATTTATGTAATACGGCACATTGAAATTTTAATTATTGAATATATAAATGGCTAATTTTTCAATATTAATTTGTGGGAAATTTAAAATTTTGTATTTCATTATTATAAGCAGGGAATGGGTTGTCTTTCTGCAATTATTATAAATAGATAGCGATTGGCGTCAGACAGGTTAGTCTGACGCCATAATTGTGCTTTGCGTGTTTTAGGTTAGGTTATGTTAGGTTAGTTTCTTTGCCAAAATGGCGTCGAACTAACTTCAAAAGTATACCAAAACCACTTAGCTTTACATAGGCATAACTTTTGAACCATTGAAGTCATAAAGTTAAGACTTGCATTTTTGAATTCTACGTATCGATAATTATTAAATAGCAAAAAAATAAGTTAATAAATTTATGTCTCCTAAGGTTCAATCGCGAGTAGTTCCAAGATAGCTCCTTAAATTTAATTAAAATATGAGAAGTATATGATAAAATAGATTTTCAAATGAAAAATAGGGAAAATAACCATTAATTGAAGTTCAAGTTGAATACAAAGGCATAGTTCCAAAGCAGACAGCAATTCTTTCTTCGTTTTTGTGATTTATGTCCTCGACTATTATGATTCTAACAAGTTCATTCCAGGCTGATGATGTTTTCACCGACTTGTGTTGAGGTTCTTAACGCCTTCAAGAGTTTCTTTACACATCTTAGCAAAGTCGGAAATTGCACGAAGCTTTTTCGTGCCATGACCTCATAATTTTCAAGTCTCTTCCTCGTAAACACGCCGATCTTATAAAGATCAAGAGTTGTTTACGAAGTTGGTGAGACGTTTTTCCGCTACAGTATGCAGATTTAATTATAGATATATTAAAATTTTCTTACTGTATTTGCTCAATATTTTCAAACCTTTATAATGTCATTTACAACATCATTTTATAATTTTTCGTTCCAACCCAGGATTTCCTTCAGCCTTTATTATTCCTTAGAAATAGAAATATCAAGTTGGGAATTAAATTCCTGATTTTTTGAGAAATTATTAAAATTCTGTCATCGAATAGTACGAAAAATTGTCATAAACTCAATAATAAATTCAATTGAAAATTCTTATTTCATTATATTATCTTTATCTTTATCTGATCACGAGACTGTGCTCTCATAAAGTTGGAGTCTTCAGAAATTCCTCGAATTTTGCCTGCACGGGAAACGCTTTCTTCGCGTGTATTTACGTTCAGTCTTCAATATCGTGCTCGAATCAGATCAAACAGATGAAAGCAAACTCCGGACCAGACACAACTAAAATATTCCAGATGGAGCGTCGACTCATCTGTGTCAACGATCTTATGAACTATTTTTAATAAAGTTGGCAAACTGAGATACAAGCTTTCACGAAGCGAAACCGGGTCATGAGTAACATAGGAATGATATTGTTACGGAAAACATAAGCGTGTAAATACAGGTTTAAAAGGATGGTAGTCAGGGATTTGAAGTTAACTCTTCGAAGACAGATTCTCTAGCTTCCTAGATGGATGCAGGATCATCCACTGAATTCATTATACACTGAATTATATGTTAGGTACATAGAATAAGAAGAGAAATTTAAAAAACAAATATTTTTCTATTTTAAAAACTAGTGAAATGCATGTGCATCGTTGCATTTTCAAACAAAAATATGGTTCTCTTTAAATTATTTATTATTTCTAATTTGTAATAGAAAAATGGGTATGATTTTTATCTTAAAAAATACTAGTAATGTACAACTTTATGTACAAAAAAAGAACTATTTATTCCATAGAATATCGATACAGCTTTCACAATAACAATTTTTTCATATTTTCAATAGTCTGCAAGATATTCATGGTTTTTTCGTTATATCAGAAAATATTCAGCTGCCCCTCGATCGATGGATAGTTTCCATCCATCCGGCTAACGAAATTATGCAGTGAAAATAATCGTGACACCATTACAGATTCATGGTATATGGAAATCCTCTTAACAGCTATGTTTATTGCTTTTGACAGAGTGCGCGGCGAAAAGCAGCGGTGTGTCGGTGGAACACCATCCGTCTTCTTACTGGGAGCAACCCTTTAGCCAGCCTTACTTCGACAACACGACCAAGAGGGAGACCACCACGACCGTTGGCCAATCCGCTTACCTGCACTGCAGGGTGCGCAATCTTGGCGATCGTGCTGTAAGTTTCGAGTTTCCTTATTGGCATGACCTCCTACCCGTGTAATAAGAACGCGAGAGAAATCGTGTTTCACGGATGAGTAGCCGGCTGATGAAACGGTCCGGTTTGTCGCACTCTGTCCACCTACATAGTACACTTTTCACTCGGACTTTTACCCGGCTTCCATCGATCCTGGATTTCCTGCCAATTTCTGCCGCGATTCCTGAACACCTGATTCCAATCCTTCGAAACGATAGAACGTGGCTTTTTTTTTTTTACTTTGACATACATTTACTCGATAAATGCTGAGATTTAACTTTCGTTCGATTCTATTAGGTTGTTGCATATTTACTGACGATTTCATGACCTAAAATCTATCAATTTAATGTTTAATGTTTAAAGAAAATTATGGTATAAAGGTTTTATCGATGTTTTTAGAATAAAATGAATGGTTTGTTAATTACCAATTTTGAATTTGATGACATAAAACTATTGCCAAATAGTACTTGTATCATATCAATTTAAAGCTTGAAGTTTGAAGAAAATTGCCGTATACGCATTTTATTAATGTTTGTAACGTGGAATGGTTGGATGCCAGTTACAGCAAACAGTGACCGATTACAGTAGTTACAGCCAACGTTGGAGTCTGGTCACTCGTTACTCACTGTCAGATCTGGCAGAACGTCTGTGTCGACTGAAATTAGACAGTTAAATTTTTGGAAAAATGATATTCAAAAGAGAAGCCTAAAAATGAAGTAAATTAAATTATTTTATTTGACAGTATAAAAGAAAAGTTCCATTTTTCTTTATTTCTACACATAGAGGGATCGTTGTATTTTGAAAGTCCACGAAAATGTGGCAACTTGAAGTGATAACTGAAATTGTTTAGTCCGGCATTGTACCAGTAAATTGCTCATAAATCCCCGAGACAAGGGCTGCTATCCATGGCCATCTTAATGGAAGGTACTTTTGCGGATAAGTGCACGGGTCACCGTCGAGTAGTGACATTACTCGTTATCGGCGTTACTCATGCATCACCGCATGACGCATAGGAACCCGTCAGAATCCAATCACCGATCGTAATCGACGATAAATCAGATTTCCCTTCGCCTCGTCCCCACTTCAGCTAGTGTGCACCATGTTCGACTCTCTATCTACGCGAACCCAGGCGTTTATATTCGCGGCGTAAAATCAACCTGGCAACACTCGGTGCCATTGTCGTTCCGTACAACAGCTTCGGTGCCATTCATTGTTTCCTACGGTATACATACGCGTGTATCATTGAAAAAATTTTTAAAAAATATCCAGAACCATTTGCAAGGCAAAAGCAATCATTGGTATGTTATTTGGTATCGATTGGTAACAAGAGTGGTGAAAAATTAATAGGTGATTGATAAAATTGACGGATGAAATATATATATATATATATATTTTTTTTTATATTTGAAAGGATTGACTCGAAAAATTCGTGCGGCTTAATTAACACGATGAATGCGATATTGATAACGTTGGGTTATAATTACAATTACTCGAGATACGTTTCATTTTTCAATCGATGCTTTCCGATTGATACTTTTGCGCGAGCAATGTAATATTGGTGTCATTTAAAATTCTCTTTCATCCCCTTCTCTTTCAATTACGTTGAATTCATGGTGATTGTCACTCGATGTGTTAAGAATTAATTAGAGTTTCAATTTACTGACTCGTAAATTTAATTGTATGCCAGGGCGTTTAATAATAAATTACTCTACAGATTCGTTTGGTTTAATTGAATTTCAAATTTAATGGCTGAACTACCGCTCAAAACAAATTGATGACACACAATTGGTTTCAAAGTGTCTGAAGTGGAGAAGGAAAGAAATTTACTCGTTTATAGTTATTTTTAATATAAAGATTTTGATAGTTAATTAATTTTTTATTTTTAAGGTTTATCGGGGAAATAATTCGGGTCGGGTTCTCGCACACCTTTGCTATACTTTTGATACAACAGACACAATATTTTTTCAATATTCCACCGTTATAGCAATCTAGGATCTAATAACCAAGTACGATTTGCTACAATTAATTTTCTGCTACGACATTTTACGGGTATCAATTCTCCGTTTTCAACACCGTTCAACACAGGGGATAAACGTTTCGCCGATAAGCCATCCATTTTCCAGTCTCCCTGCTCGCTGCTGTTCTAATTATATCTGACCGAAAGTTAAATTGAACCGTGAAATCTTTTTTCTCGCGAAAAATTACGGTTGCAACGGGTTCAAGTCCAAGGTAATTGAGCTCGATGGAAAGCATTATCCATTGGACCAAGATTATTGCGGATCAGGTTTAAATGTTTTCACGTCGGGAGCTTTGATGAAGATTTTTTTCCTGTTTTTTTTTTTTTCCCCCTCCTCCCCGAAAGTAATACGAAATTCGAGATACAGGGTGCATCGGATAGAGGGAAGATTTTCTCGATAATTCCATGCCGGATTTACCAAAGCGCAGAAACATAAATTCTACCTCTGTTCCGTTCGGTTTTATCCAATAAATATTGAGTTCGTTTTTGTAGAATTATTCGAGCGTAACAGTGAAAGATTATAAGGATTTATTGTCGATGATATGCTCTTTTTTAACATAATTTATTAGTTAATAAAATTTTTCATATCCCTTTTCAGTTTTAAAAGTCTTTTCAGAATAGATATAGAATGAATATGTAATTATTATAATGGTTCTTGTTTTAATTACTTAGGGATATTACATGGATATTTAGAAATTTACAATATGTTTCGTGACTCTGAATAATTTGTATTCCGTAAAGTTTCATTTAATATTAATGGATGTGCATGTTACCGTGATATTGTTATTTGTAACCTTATTACGTTTATTAAATTATTTCCTTTGGTGTTTCGTGTATGTGATAAGGAAACGTTTTGCGATAAATATTTTAATTGAATATGTTAATTATATTAATAATATTATATTATATTTCGCGTTGTTGCTGTCCATGCACAGCAATGGTATACTATTTAGTCTGACGATAGCACTGGTTTACTACTTAGTCTGACAATAGCAGTGGTGTACTACTTGGTCTGACCACAGCACTAGTATACTCCTTGGTCTGACCATAGCTTTGGTATACTACTTGGTCTGACCTAAGCTTTGGTATACTACTTGACCTGAAAACGTGTTATACTACTTAACGAGTCATAGTTCCTTATTATACTACTTCCTCTAATCCCAATGCATTATACATTCACACTCAATAGAAAAAAAAAATATTTTAACGTAAATGGTTTCCAATTGATTGATAACTACATAAATTACGTTGATTTGTTTGCAGGTCTCGTGGATCAGGAAACGAGATTTACACATTCTCACCGTAGGCATCTTAACATACACGAACGACCAACGCTTTCAGTCGTTGCACACCGACGGTAGTGACGAATGGACCCTGAAGATTAGTTCACCACAGGTGCGAGATAGCGGAACGTACGAGTGTCAAGTCTCAACCGAACCGAAAATCAGCCAGGCTTATAACCTGAGCGTAGTAGGTGAGCAAATGTATCAAATAATATTTTCAAAAGTAAATTCTCCAGAAATTTTGCAATTTTTATTTCAACAGAAATTGCTATAAATCGATGCTATTGTTGTACAATCGATTTATTTTCCATTTCGATGGAAAATATTCATAGGGAAATATATTCTTTGAATGATACATATTGACTTAGCGAAATCAATTTTCCGAGCTTCTCCAGTACGAATAGTATGAATCGAGTATTCCAAATGGAATTGATATCCTGATGTACTTTTACAACTGATTCAAGAAGAAGCTATCTTTTCAAACTTTCAATTTAAATGTTCGCTTTACCAAAGCACTGCTGCATTGAATTCTTCATAAATCGAAATTGCATCAGTTTTCTCAGTATTAAAATAAAATGTCAATATCATATATTAAAACTATAAAAATTATTTTATTTCACAAAATTATTTCACTTATTTATTTTACTTCTATTTAAATAAAATATAATTCCATTGATATGCAAGGGTCAATAGTCTACTGACAATGAATTCATTAAATAAAATGATTATTATTTTAATCGAAGGTACTATGATCTGTTCTGTACAGAAATCCATTGATTTAATGACGGATCTATTATGTTCGCAGTGTCAAAGGCGAAGATTAACGGTAATTCGGAGCTGTACATCAAAAGCGGAAGCGACATCAATCTGACCTGCATCGTACTGCAGACACCCGAGCCGCCGTCCTTCATTTATTGGTGAGTTTAATTGGACTTTCTCGAATTCAATTTACGTTCGAATATAAACGCCGAAATTCTCACCCGTGACACGAACAAACTTTCACCGATGAACTTCTCTATAGATCATCGGCGGCTACGGTTTTCCAAGGTCTCGATTACACGCTAAAACGAACGGAGAACGGTACTGCTGATTGGCACACAGCAAAATCATTTGCTTCGTCGGAATTGATCCCTTTCTTCTCGTTGTTCCCCCCTGTGTCGATTGTAACCTGGGAATGATTTAACTGCGAAAAGTTCATTGTCTGATAAAGAATAGCGAAGTGGAAACCGCTTGGAAAGTGGATCACAGATTACACACGACGTTCGTCTTAATTATTGATTATTCATTCAATTTCTAACGAGAACGCACTCTTTTTTATCCATGTTGCTTGATTTTTCAATTACTCCCTCTAATTGGTATAGTTCGTGAAAAGAATATTAATTAATTCAGAGTATACTCGCGATTAAATCAGAAATTTTCCTAAGGAAAATATCGATAGAGGGAAAGCAGGAGTTCTCAAAATTTTAATTTTGACGATATTAATATTGAAAGCAATATAATTTTTCATTATTATATTATTAAATTTATTATATCATTGAAAAGTACGAATAACAATAAATAGCAGTTCGAATTTTTCCGCGCAAACTAAGCGCGAGTGGTGGGGAGCCTCTGACCTATATATAGCGGGCCTCCTCCCCTCCACTGTCATTCTTCTCGGGAACGCCCAAGAGGAAGGACGGAAGTCTGGGAGGGGGTCAGGAACCCCGGAATCCGGGGAAGCCTGGATATCCCCTTTTTTCCTGGGGAAAGCTGGTTTCATTGCGAGTATACTTGACAATTTTTATTATTAAAAGGCAACATGGTTTATTTTAAAAATAATGAGACCTATAATAAATAGGATTATCCTTGCGTCAGAATCATAACATTGAGCAATTGTTCTTCGTGAAAAATTTATGTACAAAATTCTTTTTGGAAAAGTTGATAAAACGCTGAAACTATGGCAAATAGTAGAATTACCTAGCATTATTCTGGCGCCCCAAATCCGGGACATTTGTTAGAATAATTTATGTAAAACTTTGATAAAATAGCAAAAATCTGAGCTATCTAAATTCAAAATATTATTATTGTCATATAAGAAGATAAGATAATTTTGTACTTTGCCTCTACTTATTATTGGTCTCTTAATCTACTTTTTCCTAAGTACTCTGGAACTTAGTCTCTAGGTTTTCTTGACTAAGATCTTTCAGAGTTAAGGAAGTATAAAACGTTAGTGGATAACTCGTTTAATTTTCATTTTTGCACTGATTCATTTTTCAGGTACAAGGGTGATCACGTGATAAATTACAGTCAAAGAGGAGGCATCAGCGTGGTGACTGAAAAGCAAACGCGAACGTCGCATCTCTTGATATCTAGAGCGTTACCTGCTGATTCTGGAAATTACACATGTGCCCCGTCTACGGCCGAGTCAGCCAGTATCCTAGTCCACGTACTCAATGGTGGGTGAGTCAGAATAACACACAAATTTTCCAGAAAAATTCATTTTATTTAAACACAAATCTAAATATCCAGAAGAATCTTAACAATTTAATTAATTAACGAATCATTAACTCAGAATAACACATAAATTTTCCAGAAAAATTTATTTCATTTAAATACAAATCTAAATATCCAGAAGAATCTTAACAATTTAATTAATGAATGAATCATTAACCCAAAGTTCTATTTCTCATTTAAGTATCAACTCATTCAAGTGGTGATACGAAAATTTAATTTTTCCACGTGTCATTTAAATTTTTCTAATTGTACCACCAGTTAAATAGCATTCCTCGTATATACCTCGTTAACCGTGTGTCCGTATTATCACCAGAGGATTTTCAGTGAAAATTTTCGAAATTACTGTGACATAAAAATACGGAGATGAAAGTTACGAAACGAAGTCCTGAAAAGCGTGAAGGTAGGGCTTTATGGACGTCATAAGTCCATGGTACGAGGAACTGGGTAGGTTGGAGCACAGATAAACTAAACGGGGAAAGTCATAAAAAAGGGGAAAGCAGAATACAGGCGTTACTGTCATCGCTTTCTAGCACCCAGCAGGCTGCATCGAGAGCAATAAACCTGATGCTATTGCCTTATATAGGATAAAATAGAGATCTTCCTTCTTAGGGTTACCTTTCTTGATCTTTCAAAATATTACCGTAAATAGAAAAATGTCACGGTCTGCTAGAAACAGGTACGTTTAAGCGTCTCCTGAAGGGATGAAAACCGTGTAATAAACATCATTTTTATCTACACTTTCTTCTTTAAAATCTGGGATATTAGGTAATCTCAAAAGTTTATGCTCTTTTTATATTTTTTTATGATACATACTATAGCCGGAAAATATTCGATTATATCTCCGTTTTACATGGAGTTGATTTAAAAATAAAAATATAATTGTAGGACTTGTTTTTAACAGTGTATAATATCTTCTCACTGCGAATGACAGTATTTTACGCAGGACAAGTTATCCAGAAGTTTGTAAGAATTAAGTTATATCCTACTTTAGATATCGCAGCTTCTTCGGAAAGTTTTCAATGGCTATTGAAATATTACTAAACCGTTCAGAAACGAAGTTACTCATTGAAAGTGGAACGAAAGAATATGACTGATGTCGGTACAAAATTATTGTCCGAGATATAAAAGTATGTTTATAGACACCCAGTCGTGCACGAAACACGTGAACATTTAATGGGCTTGTGAAACTTTAAACGTTCGTTATATTTTGTATCAGTTTTTAATAGAACGTCAGAAGTAAAAGAGATGTAATAAACCGAGTCGGTTGGTTGCTTTCCAGAGATTCTAACGAGCAAGTTTAGCGATAGGGATGAGAGTCTTGAGAGTAGAAAAGAAGCTCCGAAAAAACAAGAGCTCGTATCTTGAAGAGAGACTCTGTAACAAAGTATCATACAGAAAATGGTATACACTCTGTTTTTTTAGCAATGAAAGTATCTTCTTTAACGATTATTACAATAGTCATTTTTATTATTATAATAGGAGGAGAATAATAATTATTATTGGAGGTGAGGGACCAGAAATTTCGGATATCCAATATTCGAGTCGAGTTGGGAATTATTTCGGTCGATTCAGGGGCCAGGGTGGGCCTAGCTACTCTTTTTATTCTAACATTTCCTGAATTCCATAAATTCAAACTTTAAAATTTCCCAAATTTCGAAATCTTCAAATCTCAAAATTTTAAAATTCCAAAATTAGAGAATATCAAGATTTCTGAATTTCCAAATCTTAAAATTCCAGAATATCAAGATTTCTAAATTTCTAAATCTCAAAATTCGAGTACTCGATATTTGGACCGAATCAGACCTAATCCAACCCTAACAATTCCTACTCGACCTTATTTGACCCTACCCCTTCTCCACAACTCGACACGATACTTTCAGAATCTCGCACACCTCTATTTATTTCTTTGAGCCTTTCTATATTATAAGGGCATTTTTAGAAAATCCTCTATTCCAAAAGAAAATTAAAAGAATTCGAAATGTTATTTTCTTAAACAATAATTCAGATATCCTATTTTCCTTCGCCAAATTCATTTGTGTAACAAAGATTCATATAGAACGGAAGGTATTCTTCGTGTTATACGAAGGTTTAGTGTATGCACACCTTTATCCATCGTATACACTGTCCCAGGGTAGTACACGTGGGGAATTGAGGACGATACAAATCTCTCAGATACGTCTGTCTCGTTATTCGACCTCTCAGAAGCGTGAATATATATCGGTCGAGATATTGTTCGCTGGAAATCCCTTCTAGCTGCTACCAGAAGGGCCGACAGACTAACATATGCACATTGCCTCTTGTGTTGGTGCGCAAATCCAAAGAGTGAACAGCGAGGCACGCAAACGTATGGGGATACGTGCATCAACGTGCCCGGCCATGAAGATTGCGTGAAACGGTGCAGGAGAGTGTAATATCTTTCTACGCTTTTCAGTCTTGCTTTCGATCTGCTGCTATACCGCTTTTAAGCTTATGCTTGTTTGTATTGGCATAGTAGCCCAAGAAACTTGCCATACTTCAATATTTCATTTTTGACTAAAGACACCAATCATCAAGTACCAACACTTTTTATATAAAAAAAAAAGAAAGAATATTCTTCTTCCATGACTAATTATATAACTGTGCTATTTGTTAAATTTCAAAGATAATGATAATTTTACATGTCATGTATCAATTAACAAGATCCCTTTTGCTCCTGAAATACCATATAATTATTTTCACGATTAATCATCAGGCAATCAGTCATTTAGACAGTTATCCCGTAAATTCCTTCTTTCGTGTCTACGTTCACTTCGAGTTAGGGTTAATAGAATTCGAGGAAAGGCGAGTTCCTTAAAGTGTAAGAGAACAATAGGTTCGTTGAAGTTAAAGATCGGCCCCGAAAAGTCTAACACGGCAATTTAATTTCATATTTCTCCTTATCGATCGTAGAAGTGCTACCGTGTAACACTTTGCGAGCCCGTTTATGTACCGTGATACACAGTAATGAAAATAATACTCGGGATCTGTTGACAAATCGTGAATCACTGGCCTCGCGAAGAAATCGCGATTACTTGCACGCAAACTAGGCACGACTAATGGCTGACTCACGCTACTTGAATCGCTAAACAGCCGCTTCTATAATTTCGTTAGAGAAAACGGAAGCATCTAGCTAACTATCAATACTAAGATTAAGAAACATCAGAAATGACTGTAGCGCCTCTGGCGGTGTAGAAATAAAACCATAGTGTTTTAGGGAAAAAGTGGTAAAAACCCTATGTTTTACAAAATTTTAAAAGACAAATTACAAAATCGGGCTTCTTCCATCGTCATATAATTATACAAAGAACATTTTTTTAAAAAACTCATGAGAAAATATCGCTTCTTCGCCTTAAAATCTCGAGGTGAACCGTTTTTTACCAACATGGCTGTCGATTATCGCACTATCCTTGTCTTTGCACGCAAGAAAGACAAGGATCGTTCTAAGCTTCTCAATCCCGCCACAAGAGGCCCCTGAGATCTTTCTAGGTTCATTTAACCCTCAATTATCTTCTAATAATAACCAACTCTGATTTCTATTATAATAACAAACGCTTCGAGGCGAATGAAAAGTAACATTGGAAGTAAAAAATAATAAAGTTTGTCAGAGATTACGCAAGAATATACATACCCGAATATCTTCATTCCAAAGACGTTTCTGAAGACGTCGTTACCGCGTGATACCGTAATATCCTCGAGCTAAATTGTGCAAGTTCCAGAGAACTAACTGTATGTACGTGCACGTAGGGTATGCGGTTGTAGACGGTCAGGAATAGCTGTGTACATAATGGTAGACGCGTAAGGACGTAATGTCTCTCTTTGCATTTCAACTTCGACTCAGCCATGGAAGGCTTTCTATCGGAATAATGCCCGGGATAATGTCGGTGTCGAAGGAGAAGGAACGGATTAAAACGCGCGATAGCTCGCAGATCGCTCGATCCGGCTTCGACTCGCTAACTGGAATTCCAGTTACGGAGTTTCCTACCGTTTCATAATGCATCGGTATGTGTAACTCCTTTACACGGTATGTGTACAATTTCATCAGTTCCCTGTCAAAACCTATTAGCCCTGCACTTCAGATCGAAATTAGGTGTTCTGCGAACGGTTTATCGATCGAGTTCAATATTCGCGAAAATGTTCGTCCTGACAGTATATTGTAATTGGAATTCCGGTATTGCGATTTCGTGAATTAACGGCAAACGAAATGGCACGTCAACACCTTTGCCAGGAATTTAGGAATTTCCGTTTAGAACCAAGGTGCGTAATTTGTGTCTCGCTAAGAATTTTTCGATAAGAAATAAAGAAGACATTTTTCAAATTCTTCGACAGATGCGTTATGATCATATTTTTCAAGATTCCATAAAAATTCAACGGAATTAATTAAATTGTCTTTATTGTCGAGCCACTTCGAATATAGAACTCAAGTCTCGGTAGAATAAGATGGACTCGTCCTCTTAAACTTCCGATTCAACGGCTACACCCGAGACTTCTACGTTCTCTGACTTTCGACTTTTATGCAACCTACTTTCTTATGGGACAGTAACATGGTTCACGCATCAGTGGTTGGAATGGTTTCTATGGAAATTTTCCAAAGGGACGCGATCCTTCGTGGCTCCCTATCTCGTGGTTCAAAGATTTTTAACGCCAGTGTATCGAAAATATTTCAAACATTTTCCTGATATCACAAGGAAAATATTTTCCAAAACTTTTCCAGTTGAAACGGAACTTTGAATAATACCGCAATTAACCAAACTGTAGAAACTTCGAGCCTTAGGCAGCGTTTCTAGATTGTAAGAGAGTCTCGTTCATCTTGCTGCACATAACTGACAGAGTTGCGATGCAGGACAGCTGGGCCCAGGGGATGCAGAAACGTTAGGTTCACTGACTGCATGCGTCACATGTTGGCTTATCGTACGTCACTTCCTGTTGAG